AAATGCAAATTCATTGAACATGCAAATACCCACCCTGGGCATTGGTGCAGTGAGCAAAGCAAAGACACGCTTGGCACAAAATGCTCATACTGAAGTTTTTCTTGGGCTCCTGGGGGATTCAGCAGCAGGGATCCCAAAAAAGGTTGAGGGTTCAAAGAAAATGGACATCATGTGCTCATCCTTCTGACTCCAAGGACAGGCCCATGGCCAGAAGCCCAAGGATGCTGGCTGACTGGAGCCGTACAGGCTCACAAAATTAGAAGCAGGAGGCCTGTAAGTCTGGTTCAGTGGGATGCATAGGCGGGGACCAGTTGGATGGGTGAAGCAGGCCTGGAGAGTTCAACAGCGAACATGGTGGGCTGTAATTAAGGGAAGCATAACTCAGCTCTAGCCAACTGGTGCTTTGTGGGTATCCGGGAACCTGCTTTGTGACTCCAAACAAAATAAGCCGGAAATCCATATTTTATGTGTAATCTTATGATCTTAAAATATTGGCCACAAATTCCATTTAAAAATGAAAAACTTTGGGAAATGCAGAACTTGTCTGTGGGATGCGTATTGCCTGTAACGTGCCATTTTGAGACTTTTATGAGAGACGATTCATTAGAAGCCAGAGATCAATCCAGCTCCTCATGCCAATACATTGTGCTGTTTCTCTTCCCTTCTTCTCTTAAAATGAGTGCAGTAGGATGGAGTGTGGGACAGAAAAATAATCGGGAGTTACTTCAGGAGTCAACTCAGTGATGGGTGCGCCCCTCCAGCCAGCACACACAGGAAGCAGTGACCTCAGGAGGATCCTGGTGGGATCCAAAGGAAGATGACTGAAGTGTTTAATCCTGACTGAGAACTTGATGTGACATGGTCTTTTGTACTCAGCATACTCACAGTGTGGACAATAGCTTTGCCTGTCTGACTGCTTCTTGCATGTCCCTCCCCTGTATCTACCATGTTCCAAGCATGACAGCCTTCAACAACTCCCTCAGACCCCCCAAAGTCAGCTCGGCACCACTGTTCAGCTTTGCCCCCCGATCTTTCTCCTGCCTTGGAAACCTCATCACCCTCGCCCCCACGTGCTCTCTTCTGACTTTTCAGTGTCAGCTTCCAAGTTTTCAGCTGAGACAACTTTACTCTGACCATTGCGGCTAACACAGGTCTCCACACCCATTCAAACGATTTTATGTTCTTCAAATCAGTTTCGCCCATTTGATTTTATTCATTTACTACTACCGATGGTAGCTATCATTACTGATTTACATAATTATCTCCCACTAGAATGAAAGTTCCAACAACATGAGGGCAGGGTCTTCCTCTTTCTTCTCCACTGCTAAATCCCCAGCATCCAAATAGTGCCTGGCATTTAGTTAAGTGCTCAGTGAAGGCAATGATCAATAATAATAAATACAATATTGAGCTTGTCATGTGTGAAGTGCGACACTAATCACTTTACAGCCTTAACTCACTTATTTATCTCAACAGTTCTATGAGGTAAGTGCTATTATTATCCCAATTTTAAAGATGATAAAAGTGAGGCACAGAGAGATTAAGTTTACGCCGCCAGTAAATGCTGGTGCTGGGATCTGCATCCGGGAAATCTGGCTCTTGGTTCATGACTTTTCTGCCTAGGGAGGGGCCAGGTAGAACTCAAATTGGGGCTGTGGGTGGGGCGAGGGGTGTCTGTGGAAAAGAAGTCTGAACACTTGAGCGCTAGTTTCGGCTCTAAATACAGAGACGCTTCCTTTCATCTTTTCCGTGTGTGTGTGAGCAGCAAGCTGGTACCACTCCGAAAAATACATCGCCTAGTTGTGAGCCTCTTCCTAGAGGCACATTCCCACAAGCATAATCATTCCCTCTGATCATGTGTTTCTGCTGTTGATTAGCAGGAGAAAGCCGCGAGGCCATGTCTGCAACATCCCTATCTGTTCAGGGGTGCTTGTGACGAACCAAAACATTATTCTTTAAACAAATGAAGCAGTAAGCAGCAGGAGTTGAGTTATGAAGGACAATATTCAGGGGATGTTTAGACACATGATTAAGTGGCAATTTGGGGGCTAGAAAAAGGAGATCATGGACATCTGAGGAGGTGAGTGTGTGCGAACATCGTGGCGTTGCTTGTAAGCGAATGACTGGGATGGAAGCTTACCTCTGGTTCCTGCTGCTTGGAGTCTCAATTTCCCAATTTACATTCCTGCCAACCTTTTCAAATCCTTCTAGTTACTGCTTTGGTTCCTGACTAATCTCCTGGTTTTTCATAAATTAGGGTTGGGGTGGAATGCAAAGAAATCACAGGTAACATTTTTGTCAGAAGGCCCGATTCAACTGGGTCTGCTGAGCCAGACCCAATGCAAGACGTCACCGTGGAACTTGTTCATCCCAGACAAGGAAAACCAGGCCTGGAACCATCGGATAGGCGTTTTGACTAATGATCTGAAAAGTCACTGTCAGTGCAACAGTTAAATACGTCTTGCTTCAGGTTTATTCACATTATTGTCCGAAAGATCAGTCACTGTGGCTGAAGTGCCTTGCACAGTTCTGGGCCCTCAATAAATGAAGCCGATGGTGATTACAATGACTGTTACTAGATTCCTGATACTCTTCTTTCCCAGGTTGGAATTCAGAAGGAATGCTTCGGGGCAAACCAGTCGCATCCACACGTGTCTTAGCTCCTCTCTCCCAGACACTTCAGTTTGCATTTCAAAGGAGATTAGAGATGGCTTCTTAAAAATTTCAAACCAACCCGCTTTGATTTCTCATCTGAGTTTCCAAGAACTGACTCACTGGTGTGCTATAGATGGACAGAGGTGCAGCTCAGATCCAGAGGGGCCCCCTACCCCCACCCCATGGCCACCCAGTGCCCCTTCGGTTGTATAGGGGTGAAGTTCTTTGCTGCTTAAAATCCATTTTATGGGCTTATTGGTATGAGGGGCTGGCTTCACGGGCGTGTGGCCTGTGCGGTCACCCATGGTCCATGCTCAGAAGGGCCCCTCACTTGGCTTAAAGCTCTGCAGTCATCATTTTGAAATTCTTAATAACGTATGAAAAAGTGGCCTTGCTAATTATATAGCTGCCTGGAATATCCTGCATGTCTGATATGTAGAAACATAAATAATTGTATAAGTTTGGATTTTATAAAATGTTAATAGAGTATTTTGGAGTTCTTGGAGAAAAAAAAGCTACTGTACCCAGTTTAACCATCTTTTAGTGAGACCAGTCTTCTATAATCTCTCTAATTAGGATCAGAAGTAAAATGAAATTTCTAAAGAGATGAATTACAGAAATCCATTGGAAACTGAAGACCAGTACAGACAATTTGGCCCTGTATGAGCACATCCTGTAGCTTTCGTCATTCCTTCTGGCTTGCTTAAGGAGTTTGGACAAACTGAGCCCAACATCACCAGCAGGTAGAGAGGTTAGGCCCAGAACCATCAGGCCAACAGAAAAAAATCACAAGTCCTGGGAAACCGAGAGCGCCTTCTCTAGTGACCTTTTTCTCTCCTTCTTGGCTTTGGAAAGCAAAGGTCTGGCATGACGCCTAGTCAACCTTAATTCAGATGAATATTGTTTCATAATTATTTTTAAATCCATAATTCTAATTTTTAAAATAAGATATGCTTGCAGCTGGACCACATTCAGGAATATAGAATAACCTAAATTAGTCTTAAAAAGCTTTATGTTTTTTCTTTCCTCAAATAGAGGTTCTTCTGGGATTAGCTTTAACGAATAGAGAAGAATAATGCATAATTAGCATATCAGTTGTTTAACACATTCAGGAGAATAGCCTTCTTAAGCACTTTAAGAAATGTATGTATATAAAAAAAGAAAAAAAAGAAATGTATGTATATAAAAACTCTCGGAGCTATGTTTATGGTTTTAATGTGTTCAATAAAACTCCTGTTCATGGATTCCTCAAAGGTCAGTTTTTATCCAGCTTATGTCTGTATTTTCATAAATTGTGAATTTGAGAATTCCAAAATAAAGAGGCTTTTCTCTATAATAAATGAAGACACTCAGTGGGAACACTTCACAATCCCCACTTGTAACCCATTCTACTGTCTGCTTTTGCCTTTCGCAATTCAAGAGAGCTCCATGAACTGGGGCCTACTTTTTAATATGTTACTTGTTTTTGGTCTCAAAAGTGAAAAAAACAATGCCTTGATTGTTTGGTGCATATCAAGTTATAAAAGAAACCAATGATGCTTTTGACCCCTAAGACAGCCCACCCTCCTCTCTCTGCTACTACTTCATTCCTTCCCAGCAGCAGAGAACTGGCCAGACCTGACCCTCGTGCATGGTCCTCTCCCAGGCCTTACATTTCAGTGACGAGCAGTGACCTAGGAGTCACCCTCGACACTTTGTCCTCTTCCATATTCTGCTCATATTCAATCTATCCCCAAGCCCTATCAATCTTCCTGACCAACACCACTCAGATGCACCCATCTCCCTCTAGCTCTGCCAGCTCTATCCTTATCCAAACTTTGATAGCCCCAAATTCAGATTTCCTGCCGCCATCTTGTCTCCTGAGCCATCCTCCACACACCAGCCAAGACAATCCTCTTAAAAAATAAACCTGATCACATGACTTGCCAGCTTAAAACCATCCTTCAAGGTCTCCTCATTGACCTTAAGAAAAAAACCAAAGCCATGACAATGGGTTTCTTGGTCTTATAGGCCCAACCTTGCCTCATCCTCTCCTCTTCCTCTCTCACTGTGGCCCAGCTACAAAGGCTTTCTTTGGCCTCCTTAGATTGCCAGTTTCCTTCACCACCAGGCCTTTGCATTTGCTTTCCTTCTTTGAGGGGGATATTCTTCCCCACAAAATCTCCCCTCTTCCTGATCTTCCTCACACTTTCAAGAATTCATAATCAAACGTTTATTTGTACAACAGTTTGGTATCCCCTTCTAGAGTGCAAGCTTTGTGTGGTCATGCTCTCCCCAGCTCCAGTCCTGGGCCATTGATGTTGGAGGTTGGAGATGCTCTATTCCCATATCCCGCACCCACTCACCGCGCTCATGAGAGAGTCCAGGACACTGACTGCAAATGCTGTCCCACATGCAAATGGCTGCGTGAGGTACAGTTCTGTGTCGGGATCATCATCATCGTCTTGGTCCAAAAACTGAACGTTAGTATCATTCACTAGAAAAAGTGTAAAATGAGAATTAGCTCAAAAGACCACACACGGACAGTGAAGCCAGAGAAAGAGCAGGCTACTGATTTAGCAACACTGAAGTCACTGAAAAGGAGAGAAAAGCATGGGAGAAGCTGTAGATGAATCTTGGGGTGGGCGCCAGTGGACTCAATGGACCGCTCTTATGTGATTGTCCAAGCTTCCCAGGCCTGGTGAGCAATGAGTTCAAGCAGCCTTGATCCATGGCAGACCACTGGAGAATGGCTGGACAGTGCTGGTCAGTCCTTTGGTATAGTTTTAGAATCATGACCGAAAAACACTTCAGGGTATTTTTCGGTCGCCAAGTCCTTTGAGAGATGGACATATTTCAAGGATGAGTAGCCATGAGTAGCCATGCTGGGATGCTAAGTTTAGCCACAGGAAAAGAAAGCAACTTATCGAGACCGGAGAGCAGGAGACTAGGAGCACAGCAAAGGCGCATAGCAAGGAATTCACCTGTAGGCAGGACCTACAGCCTGCCCGGGGTCGGCCTGGGTAGGGTCTGGTGTCCCTAGCCCTGAATCCAGGCCCACCCCGACAGGCCCTGTTTGATAGAACAGTGACCCCAGGTGGGATGGATCCCTGGCTGTCTCCGTCTGCTTGCTGACAAGTACTTGCTGTGCATTCCAAGTTGCATGGGGACGCCCACGTTCTCCCTTTCCCCTTCTACACAGCTCAGTCTTTTATGTGCTGCGGCTCCATGACAAGCAGCATCTGATGCTGTAGTTCATTTCTATCTGAGGATTCCTCAAGGACTCCTCTGGCAGGCGGGTGCAGACGGATTGGCTGTCACTAAGATGTCTTCAACTTATTAAAAATTAAATGACAAATTAATTTCCATTCCCATCTTGGCTTCAGAAATTATCAGTGTTGCAGAGCAAGTAATAGGGAAGAAAGTGTGTGGTGGGGGAGGAGATGAGCACTTGTGGTTTCTGGAATAATTATGGTGCTTTTAGGAAAAGAATAGATGAGGTTTCCTTTTTCTGATTCCTTTCTAAATGTATCAGTAGTGAATTCTCTTTCCTAGAGTTATTGTTTTAATTTTTTTTTTCCTAAGCGTAACTTTCTGGATAACTTTTTCTTTCAACCTTTGCTTGCTTATTGTATAAGGCAGAGTAAATGATAATAGGATAAAAGGCTAGGCATGGAATTAGTTTTAAATGACACCGTCTTGTTTCCCTAGAGAAAAATTTTAATGGAGGAACATCTTTGCTCAGTAACACTTGAATTACAGGCTAGTGGGTAAAAGTGCAAAATGCGGGATCTGACAAGTAAGCTTTGAATCCAGGCTCTGTACAAACTCTGTATAAGCCTGTGGCTTCATCATTCTGCACCTTACTTTCTCTCTCTATAAAATGGGAGAGTTACTAGCAGCTCTCATGAGATTGTCAGGAGGCTCCTAAGGGATTGTGCTTGGTGAGCCTGGCCCAGGACCTTGACAAATATTAGCTGCTCTCAGGTTCGCCCGTCTGATTAAATATTCTGTCTACCCTACTACACTATGAAAATTCCCACCTTCCTTCCGCCTCTCTCAGAAGCAAGTAAGACCTTGCTCAGGAATCCTACAGGGTCAAATGGGAGCTTTTCCCCTCCTCCCTCCATTTACCCAAAATCACATTGGAGGCCACAGTTTTGGCTTCTTGCTTTGTGAACCAGAAAACATGAACTCTGGACAATAATGCAGAGGAGTGTGGTTTTAATTACTTAGAACAACCAAGGATGGTGTGTGCATTGACACTCCAAAAGGGGTAGCATCTGTTATCTCTTTTCAAGACCATGGGGAAGGACTGGTAGTAGACTTGGGGGGGAAGTGGCCACAGGTAGGGAGAGATGACTAGATCATCAGCGAGCCAGGCATTTCAGTCATTGGAAAAGAGCTAAGGCAGGAACCAGGGTTCTGTGAAAATCCTGTGTCTCGTTCTGGGAGAGTCTCATAGGGAGAGCAGACAGTGTTACCCAAAGCCTATTTCACAGAACAGTAATTATATGGTGCTAACATGTGATTTTTTTAACCCCTCCCCCAATGTTTTAGGTCATAGATAACTGGAAACCAGGTTAAGTAGCTTTAAACAAATGTCCTTCTTGTGGAACTTCTAGAAGCTTTTGACCCACTACCATCAATTGAAACTCTCCAAGTGGATGAAGACAGGAATATACTACACAGCTTTAAAAAAACCTGGTATCCTCTGTGCTTTTTAGAAGGCATTTTACTGGTTTGGCATTATGCAGAACACATCTCAGAACATGCAGGTAAACAGTAAATATTTGTGGGGGTGCGGGGTAGCGAAGTGGTCAGATGATGATGGTATGTTTGCCAAAGGTGGTATGACCACCAGGAAAATAGGGCTTAACACAGAAGGTAAGGGTGATGTGTACACATGGAAGGTTCTCTGAGCTCACAGAAGAAATCTGGTGAGGGACGAAGGCTTTGGGAAATTCAGTTATGCTAACTGAATGCCTGCATCATTGCCTCAGATTTGGGGCACCAAGCCTTCTCTTTCCTCTTCTCCTAATCACAAATCGAGATATCCTAGTTAGTTGGTAGCATATGAACTCCAAACAGAAAAAGAAATCCCTGGCAGTAATGATTTTGAAATGCCCCTGAAGGTTTCTGAGATGGAGATATTTGGATGAATTTTCCAACCAGCGGTCTGGGCTGCACAAGCTCCCTGGGCCTCTTACAACCCTAAGGTCCTCAGAAGAGCAATCCAGAAACCTAGGCTTTTAGCCTACTTCTCTAAACATGAAAAAGACACCTCTCCTACTGTTGGAAACAGAAAATAGTGCGATACTCCTTGACCTGAGTGAATTTTTCCTGATAAATAGCTACGTCTACAATAATGCAGTGCTGAATGGTGGACAATTTATTCCTTAGTTTCCAGACACCTCACAAGCAAGATTACTGTGTTAAAAGCCTGCTCTCTTATTTTGAAATATATTTTGGGGCCAAGAGAATGGCATGTTCATTTCATTTGTGAGTCATTCGAAGGCAGGTGCTCCCCACCTCTCTATCCACCCCTTGGCAGAGCAGTACTTTTGCTGTCTCTATTTAGAAGATCAATCCCCAGTTCTGAGACCTGCTGCTGATGGGTGCCTTTTACAGAGTTATTAACCAAGTCCCAGGGAAGTGTGAAGGGCCTGACAAATGTAGTCATGACCAGAACCCTTCATCTTCCTGGTGAGTCCACTCTGAATCTCCGGGAGGCTCTGCGCCAGTCGGGTGGGGGTCAGAGCACAGACCTGTGCCTCAGTGGCTGCTAACTCAACCTCAGCACCCTTCTTGAAATCTGGCTTTCATAAGAAAAGGTCCCCTAGGAGCTGGCTGCTTTTATGGCCTCAGAACCAGAGCTTCTGAGAAAAGGTCTCGTAGGAAAAAAAAAAAAAAAGGCAAATAAAGTCAGAATAAAGGAAAATAAACAGCTGGAGGGAAGGCTCCGTCTTAGGTTTCTTATCTTAAAATTTTTATATTTCTCCTTTGACTTCTCTGAGAGCTGTGAAGACATGTCAGTCAAACTGACAGGGTGTTGGAAGAGGAATATAAGGGAGAAGGCGGGAGAGCAGGGGGATACAGGGGGGGGAAAAGGCCCAGGCCAAAGAAAATGAATTAGAGCAAAGATGCTTTAGAAGCAACTGCCAGGTCAGATGGGTGTGATCAAAGGTTTACTGATGCTGTGTGGGGAAAAAAATCATTAAGAAAGGCCAGAACAAGACAGTCGATTCCAACCAGAGCCACAAATAAAACACATTCAAAGCAGTGCCATGGGGTAGTCTTTCTGTTACAGCCCATGAAATAAAAAACAAGCCGATGATAGTTGGAAACACCAACAACAGAACAAAAGGAGATACCGATGTGAAGGAAAACAGTGCTTCTTACCCAGTTCAGTTATCATTAGAATGTGCGTCCCACTGTTTTTTTCCTGATTGACTGATACCAAAGGCAACTTGCCAGGTTTAGCTAATTGGATACAGCATTTAAGGGTTGGGGAAAGGGAGTGGAGGAAAGTACAGAAAAAGAAGAGCATGAGGGAATAACAGAGGACACATTGTAACGTAAGGGGACCCAGCACCATAGGTGGTTAGTATTGTCTTGGGGGGAAGAGACCACTCAGCAGCTTTGCAAATTCACAGATGGTAGGAGGGAATGCCATGGCTGGGTTAAAAGTTGGGTTCCACTGGCCTGTGATCATGGTCGTCCAAACCCCATCTTATTTTAGGCCAGAGTGGCATTAGCTGAGAAGTTCAACGAGAATAGATTAAATGCCCATTGTCTCCACCCAGTTCTCAGAATGGGTTTGGCTTAGACCTGAGGCTTTGTACCTCAGTGGAGGGCTCTGATTGCAGAAGCTGTCTGGAGGTGCTTCCAAGGAAAATCACCAGGAAGAGTTCACGGATTATGCCTTTCCTCCTTTCCTCCTCCTTCCCTAATTTATGCCCCAATCTCAAATCCATCATCTCAAGCTCCGTTGAGAACAGTGACCAGCATGAAGGAAACTGTCTATTCATCTCAGAGGAAAGATCAGCTTTCCTTTCGGTAATCTGTCATATTGCTACCCATAGCTCTCTTCACTCCCCACCCCCCACCGCCAACAAGCCCTACTAGAGCCCTCTACGCTGAAGGAGCTAAGAAACAGACTACCCTCGTATCCTACATGGCTGGAAGAGAGGACAACAAAATCTGCCCAAAGCTGACATTCACCCCTACCTAGTTCAGTAATGATGGGGATGTTGACCCCAGTCGTGATGGATGGCTGGCGTAACATCCCGTGCACTGGGCTGTTATCTGGAGAGGATCTGTCCATTCCTGGAGGTGTGAACCCTAGTGGAAAAGAAAGAGAGAAGGGAGAAAAGTCAGAGACATGGAAAGCTTGGGAATAATATGAGTACAAGATACATACACAATTAAAAAAAAAAGTAGTTTATGCATTATTTACAGGTCAACAATTGGCACTCTCAGGATAAACTCCGATGTGTTGCTTTTGTGAAGGACAAAGTAGGAGGCCATTATCAATAATTCTAACCTGCCTTGATAGCTCCCTAAAAATGAGTCTCTACATCAATTACTGCTCTTGCTCACAGATTTTTGTTCCAGGCAGACAAGAAGATTGTACCTCTGTGCCTCCATGTGACAGGAAATGCTCTAGCCCATGAAAAGTGAACAGAACAATGTATACCATTGCTTCTGGTACAAAGATTTGATTTTCTGCCTCCCATCCCAGACTGTGGCAACCATGGGAACATGGATTCCTATAGAGAGGAAGGCTGGGCAGCAGCCCTGGACAGTAACCCAGACTGCAAAGCATTCTGAGTGAGTGAAGAGGTGATCTCTGTTGCTTGAAGACACTGGGGATTGTGGTGGTGTTGTTACTACAGCACAACCTAACCTACCCTGACTATTACGGTAAACCAACTGATTACTTATCCTCTTGCCAGTGAGGGACTCAAGCCGGGGTTTTTGACAGATTCTCGTCAAAGGGAAGTGGGAGGAAATCTGCTTGGGGACTTCTAGGAAGGGTTTCCCTGCTCTTAAAAAGAATCACACAGGAAGAGATTGTCTTTTAATTCACTGGGCATTGCTCTCATACCTGTGGTGCCTGGAACTGTGGCAGCCATCTTGCAACTAGGATGGGCACCAGCTGAAGACAAAGCCAGCTTAATGAGATTGGCTGAACAAATGATGGAAAGACTTAACAACAGAAAGATCTATCCTTGAGGGAGCACCTGGGTGGCTCAGTCAATTGAGCATCAGCTCAGTTTTCGGCTTAGGTCATGATCTCAGGGTCTTGGAATTGAGCCCTGCATTGGGCTCTGTGCTGGGCATGGAGCCTGCTTGGGATTCTCTCTCTCTCCCTCTGCAGCCCCCCTACTCTCTCTCTCTATCACAATCAATCAATCAATCAATCAATAAAATAGAAAGAACAATCCTTGAGTTACTGAATTAACTAGCCTTAGAGCCCAAACCAACTGACCTCAGGATTTCTTACTACATGAGACTTTATATACAGTATATACAAATGAGATTACAATATACACTATGATAATGAGATTATGTATATATTTTATATATATAATAATTATATATATATATGTATATGTACATATACATCTATATTTTCTTATGGTAAAAAATCCTGAGGTAGGATAGATTGGTTTTGTACACACACACACACACACACAATTTTATAAATATGTAGCTGATTCTTCCACAACACAGGTTTGAGCTGTGTGGGTCCACCTATGTGCGAATTCTTCTTGATAAATATAATGCAGTCCTGTAAATGTAATTTCCTTATGACTTTCTAAATAACATTTTCTTCTCTCTAGCTTACTTCATTGTAAGACTATAGTATATGATACACACAACATACCAAATGTAGTTTCCTCGACTGTTTATGTTTATCAGTAGGGCTCCCGTCACCAGGACATTATTAACAGTTAGGTTTTGGGGACTCAAGAGTTATACATGTATTTTCAACTGTGCAGGGGGCTGGCACCCCTCAACTCCCCCATTGTTCAAGGGTCAACTGTATATATTTTTCTTTTTGTGTAAGCCCAAATGAAGAATTTTCTTTTCTTTTCATTTGAAAAAGAAGTCCTCCTGACTACTGCATATGCCCCCGGCTTGTCGCGGGTCCCGGAACCCCCTGGCATGCCGAACACGGACCTCATATGGTAAACGCGGGCATAGGAACTTGGAAAGTAGCCTACTTGGTTTCTGATTTTTGCTGTTTGAGCTTCTCAGACCCAAATCCCAAGCACATATTAGAATGAGCTTGGCCCAACCACAACTTCAAGGCTGAACGGCTGCCTCTTTAAGGATGAGCACAGAGACCTATACACATGAGACATTTATTTACCTCATATATTCATTTGGCGAAAATTAATTTTATCAAGTGACGCACCTGGCAAGTGCTACCATCAACTCTGTGCTGGCTGCAAGACCCAGTTTGCTCCTGACCTTAGCACACAGGCAGACAGATGTTCACATTCACTTTGGTTTCCCTTCTTTGTCCTTGGGGGATTGGCTACGTGGGCTTATCAGTGAATTAAGGACTTGCAGATACAAAGTCACTTGCTAAGTTTCCAAGGACGAAATTCCAAACAGACCTTGTGGCCAGATCCCTGACTTAGTCTCCAGGAATGTGGCGATGTTGGATTGATTCTGCTTTACAGTACGTGTAAAGCTCCATCCATCAGGAATGAAATGACAGGTGTTCAGTAATTGCCTGTTGTTTTCGAGGTGCATAATGCATGAAATGCCAGCAAAATATAAGAGGGTCTTCCTATTTTCTGCTCTCCTGTGTATAAATTTCATACTTTTGAACGCCATACTTTCAGAAAGAAAAGTTTTATTTACTGTTCATTCTCTGATTGCCATTAATTTTATTCTTTGTGTTGATATGCTGTGCACAGGGTAAGTAATGTCGAGTGACAGTATAATGTCCATCTTTCTAAACTTTGGAATGTGTATTTTTCAGCCAACCACATAACCAAGAACACTCATTTTAAATGCTAGCTGTTTTCTTCCCCAGAATAGCGAAGGGGAAAACTAAACTGTTTTCATCAGAAGTTTCATTCAAAAGCATGAAAAACTACAAGTGACAGCTGTGCAGATTTGGTGGCTGTGACGTTTTTGAATTTCTTCAACTTGACAAGTAAACACCTTAAATCGGTAATGCTATATGCATAATACATGGCCTGTATTTTGACATCCATCATCAAATGCTGACTTGAGAAAATACGGGTTTGTACGTCAAGGAATAGCACCCATAAAACAGGGAGAAATGCAGGTCACACGGTATTAGGAAAACTGTATTTCATTACAGAACCTGCAACAAGCCACAGCATCCTTTTATTTTATCTTATTTAAAGATTCCATTTTCAGCTGTGAAAAGACTCAACTCCTTTGCATGAAACCTTCATTTAAAAATGACATGCTTGCCTCATAGGCCTATTTCATTTTGCTTTCATATTCCATTTTCCCCTTCAGTCGCCAAGCCTGGTTCCATTAGCATCTGCAACTGACAAACTACGGTGGGTGTCCAAAGACATCTCTCCATTAAAAGTCCCTTCTCTCTCCTATGCATGACCCCAAGAACAGGGTGCTTTTGTTGGCAAGAAAACTTCAGCAATGATAATATCTCTTTCTCTTTTGCTACTTTTCTAGCTACATACTGTTCAAAGCAAAAGGCAGAGACAAAAGAAGTAGATTTCATCTTTTTTTTTCCTCCCCTTCCTATGGAGTTGTGTTAAAGATGAACAGAATTCATTAACATTGTTTTCTTAGAGGTCCTAATATGGGAAAACCTGTAGTTTGAAATGACAGGGCTGACCCAGATTCCCTAAATGGCCTTGGAGAGAAGAGAAATGCAGGCGCCTTCCTTCAGAAGAGACGAGGCACTCTGGCCCTTGATGGCATTGACCCTATTCGTCATAGCTGCAGTTGATAAAGGGGCAGCTCCAAATTGTGTCCAGGTTTCCCAACTGTCTTACTCCCCACCCCATCATTGTTTGCTGCAGTGGATACATCTTTGGTTGAACTTTAAGTCTCTCTACATAAAACAGCACTCTAGTTCCGCACGTAAGAGCACAGTCACATGAAATATACTCCAGGGATCATAATCTACAACTGGAGAATGGTGAAACTGGCAAACTCTCCTTTCATTAGTTAAACTAACACTGGAGAAATTAATTTTAGAAAACAAGCACTTATTTGGCCAGGAAAGAGAACTAAGAATGTTGGCATCTGAGAGAAAGGATGAGAAGTTCTTAATCAGGAAAAGATTCAAGCTCAATCAATCTTACCAAATTGGTCTCCTGATTCTTTACATGTGTCCCCATTCTCTCTGTTGAGCATGGCCATAGGCGGTAAGTTTGGGGCTAAAAATGACTTCCAAAGATTACATGATCTTGTTAAATTGAAGGCCCCTCCCCATTCCAATCCTCAGGGGCAGATGTGAGGGGCTTATGTTACCTTTCTGTTCTTTTGGCATTAGGCATAAATGGTCCCAATATTGCCCCCCTCCTAAGCATGCTCACTCCACATGCTGTATGAGAACTTTAGGCCAGAGACGGAGTTTTCTTTTTTTAAACTTCCTAGATTGTCTTTAGAATGCCCACCCACAGAGAAGAAATGGAGTAGATAGTTAAAAGTATGAACTCTGAAGTCAGATGTCTTGGGTTCTAATTCTGATTCATTTACTTACGAGCTACATAACTATGAGCGCAGCTCTGACTCTCTGTAAGCCTCTGTTACTTTGTCTATAAGCTGGAAGTATTTCATACATAGGGCAATTGTAAGGATAAAATGAAATCGTGTATTCAAAACATTTAGTATAATGCCTGGTATAAAGCAAGTACTCAAAAATTTGACTATGGATGATAATACTTCACTAGGTACACAATAAATATTTGTGGATAGGTATAGCATCCATCACCACTTCTTCCCTATGGATAAAGAATTGAGGAAGCCTTTGGCATATTTTTTAAAAAGAATTTTCAGGGGCGCCTGGGTGGCTCAGATGGTTGAGCGTCTGCCTTCGGCTCGGGTCATGATCCCAGGGTCCTGGGATTGAGCCCCGCATCGGGCTCCCTGCTTGGCGGGGAGCCTGCTTCTCCCTCTCCCTCTACTGTTCCCCCTGCTTGTGCTCCCTCACTCTCTCTATCAAATAAATAAATAAAAAAATCTTAAAAAAAAAAAAAAAAAGAATTTTCACGTAGAGTAAACCCTAGAAAATTAATGGTAAGGCAATGAGCACTGTGAATCCATTCTGGTAGGAATAATCAGATCACTTCAGTGATAAAAATGAATTTCAAAAT